TGTTATTAGTTTTCTTTAGGTGAAAGATGAAATAAAATCGGTAGTTTACGAGTTTATTATTGTTTTTGTTATTGAAATTGTATTACTTAATCGTTGCTATGGATGTCTGAACTGTAGTAACATAGATTTTATTTATTTTATTATATTAATTAACCTGACATTATGGACACTCATTGTTATACATAGTTTCTTACATACATTACTTGCATACACCCACACTAACTTGCCTACCTTGCTTTAGAATGATAATTTTCAAAAATTTTCTAAAATTCCGTTATTGGCTGTATTTATCATGTAAGTTGTTTTTAAAAGTTGTGGATTTTTGTATTAAATAAAAAAATTAATGTATACGTTACAAACAAACAATCAAATCTTTCCTCTTTAAACTATTAGTATAAGAAAAGTCTAGAAATCGACATTTTTTATCTGCACAATTAGTATAAAGTAAAATTCACTGTACTGTTATTAAAAACGTTTGTTACAAAAGTAATAATTCAAAAGAGAAAAAAAAAATTACCGACGCCCCTTCCTCGACTCCTTTGTTCCGAACTGGTGTAGGTAGAGAAAAGACTTTGTTATTTTCTTAATTGCTCTTTAGACAAAAGAACACCTATATTGAGCTTTTGTTCTATTTGTATTGAGAGTTTCTGGCCTTATTTCTTTAGTCCTTATTAGAATCTTTAGTCGTTACTTATTTCTTTATGTAGTACCTATTTACGTATGTATTAAACCAGAGGGAGACTTTGTACAAAAGTCGATTGCTTGGGTACCTCTGTCCCATTCATGTTTCTACCGTGAAGTAGTTGAGTTTGCATGGCTGTGTTTCGGTTTGAAGGGTGGGATATGACATGAATTTACAGGGTACAGAGGAATAACATCTGAGTCCTCAGGAATGGCAACGCATGGGGGTACCACGGGCGAAACAGTAGGTACTCTGTTATGTCCATGGTACTGCTCATGTCTATAGGCGACGGTTAGCACTTTCCACTTTAGGTGGGCCGTCAGCTTGTTTGCCATTCTAAGTTGTATAAAACAAAAAACAAATAACCACGATGGTTTTCAGGGGGAACCACGTGGAGGTCGACTTTATAGAGTGCATTACTGGCAATGGGTCGGTTAAACCCATTACTAACAATCCCTTTCTCCCCAATAATTAGTACTTTTCAGTGGGTGATGGAATAGTAACTACGCCTGCGCTAACGGTATACACTGGCGGGGCACCAGTGAAAGATGACAGGTAAGGATGAAATGATAGGTCAGTTAGTCCATCGTGAACACAACAATCATCACACTTGGAATTCAGCACGACCAGTTCCAGGGGGGACCACGTGGAGGTCGACCTGGTTGGGTATATTGCTAGCAATGGGGCCTTAGTCTCCATTATTAACAATACGTTCCCTCCAATAATTAGTACTACGAGTCCTGGTTATTACTAGATGTTTGCATCTAGTGATTACCATGACGTCAAATATTAAATAGAAGGTAAGAACATCCAAGTCGAATGTTTATACGCAGTAAAACTTAGGTACAAGTATTGATGAAAACACAGAATCTGATAATACGATCATAAGTAACGATATGACGGAACTATAACCCAAGTGGTCGTGGTCGTAAAAAACAAATTATCGCCTCATTTCCAAGAGAATATCGGACCGTAAGCAAATACATTATTTGTTATGTCGCCACATAGTATATCTGGTACTATTTGAATTCACGTAATATTATTCTTTTGTCTGTTTTTTGTTTAATTTTGAAATTGGAATAGTATAATAACTATCTAGTTTATTATTCAAATTTCAAAAGTTTCCACCTCGAATTTAGTAACCGAAAATATATTTACTTTAATAAGTAAATATCATTATAACAGTTCAATAACATTCACTTCCGGGCAGACATAGACAATATTAGAAAGGCTAAATGCTTGTATTTTTCCTGGGTAAGCTTCGTCAAGGCCAGAAACGTATTGGCAAGTTTTCTGGCATTGTTAGTGTTCATGGGCATACTAGATTGTGGCGTTCTCACTTAAAAAAATCTCATTCTTAATCACGTTTACAAAGTGCATGGTACAAAATAATGGTGATTAATATTCGTATATAGCAATATTATTATTATTATTTCAGCCATTAACTGTCCACTGCTGAACATAAGCATTCCCCATAAAGTAAGTTTTGCCAGTAGTTACCACGCTTGATAGGTGAGTTGGCAACCGCAGTTAAGCTTAGAGAGATGTTTTAGATGTTTTAAGAGAGATGTTGCTGCCCATCCCTCCACCATAAGCTCCCTTAGTCGCCTCTTACGGCACCCACGGGAAAGGAAGGGATGGCCCATTCTATGCCGGTACCTACACGGTAATACAACAATATCTATATATATATTAATCCAATAACGAATATAATAAATATTGGTAATCCCATATACAATATTTAAATGGAGAACGGAACTGCTCACCACAGTTCATCTTAAATATCCCCTATGTACAGACATCGTCGAGTTACAATTTTATTATATTTCTAATATTGGAGTAGCTTTTTTTATGGAGCAATATAAGTATATACTTACATACCTTTTGATCTAATATCGAGGCCTTGAACTGATGTATGATCAGTGGCGTATAAAATGGGTGAGTTTGTGTAGTAGGGTCCCAAATCTAATTGGAGATTGAGGTTGAATGATGCTATCGGTCTGATATCATCACAAACAACATGACCTAATTAAGTAGACTATGATATCTTATTCATAGAGTTATATTGTAATTTTATTTTACCTTAATATACAGGGTGGAATAACTACATGGGACAGATAAAAGAAACACTAGGTGTCATGTCGTATAGGGAGGTCAAGGATATGGCCTGGGATAGAGTTGGCTGGAAGAAGATGCATGAATTAGTTGCACCGACAAGAGGAAACTCTTAAATGAAAAGAAGACAGGGTGTAAAGGACATGTTGCCCAAAACAAAAACAGCTGACACACTTTCCATCAGGTAGACCGTCAGCTTGTTTGCCATTCTAATTTGTATAAAAAAAAACAAAATTTGATATTTTTCGTAATTTATTCCCACTGGTTTTCAGTTCAATATAATGGTCTGAATTCACTATTTCAGTTTATGCTAACCTGTCGTTTACATCCTGTATAATAAAATTTAACTAGTCTTATTATAAAATTATAAGAGGTCGATGTATGTACATGGAGATGCAGAAACTTTTCTTAAAGTTTATATCGGGGTTTTTATTAGATTTAGTATTCATTATTAATCCTAGATTTAGTACTTCTTTGTAATCATAATAACTAGTTTTGACATAATCGAAGTTTTTTTTTTATGGCATACAATCTTAAATTACTGGATTTTAATAGAATTTATAATGTTATCGTCGAGTAAAAAAAACAGTCAAGAAATTGATTAATTTATCCCCACTACAACATCCGCCACGCTGTAAGCGGGAAGCAAGTAATAGATAATGAGCTAAAGGCGGTTTCTATAGTCAGTCGCTCGACAGAAACAGAGGGGAACACATCGGTCTTTGTGTAGTTTTACTAAGTATAGAATATTAAATTTCATTTATAATTAGAAAGTGTCGTTATGATTTATTAAACTTCAAATTCATATAATTATTATGTTACTGATTAGATGTTATTTATAGAATTAAAACTTAGTAACTAGGTTATTAAAAAATATTGCTTAATTAGAATTACAACGGTTTAAATTTAATATTGTCCTAATTTATATATATAATTATTGATTATAGTGTTGTTAAAATTGTCAAGAGGGTATTCAGAATAGGTAAGTAAGGCTTACTATGTGATATGTTAAAATAAATGTATTAATCCGAAAATTGTTTTTAATATTTTTTTTTCTAATACGTAACTCTAAGATCCTACCATGGTACAAATATTCTATTACAATCTGTAATTATTTAATTTCTTAGTTATACACACAGCTATGTTGATTTTAGCCATAATTTACTTTACCTATTACCATCATTTTGTAGAAACATAATCTTCTATGATTTATTTACTAAAGGTACAATCAATAAATAAACATGGACCATTTATCCCCGGAACCCAACGGTTAAATTATGCAAATAATTTCGATCCCAGCTCACCGGTTGTATAGGCAAAGATAGTATAATATGGAAACTACTGGCTCATTTTTGGCCACAACAGAATATCAGTGTTCTGCTCTTTTTAGGGGCAAAGCAATAAGCTGTGTTGTGGCCATTTTGTATTACTGTGGCACACGGATGAAGAAAAAAAAATTGTTACTAATTTTATGCATTTTTTTTTGTACATGTATTTTTTTTATCTTTTTTCACTTTGTATTTGTATCTATTGCTGTTTGTGTGTAAGTAATGCAAATAAATTATTTATCTATCTATCTATAACTACTGCTGTTTACATTATGAAATATTTTTATTTATATATCTTTTTGTCTCGTAAATTTCACGTAAAGAAGTCGCATGGTAGTTAGAGAATCGAATATACAATCAAATCATTATGAACATGAACAAAATGAAAAAATGACCCTACCTATAGTCAGTTATGGAAAAATTGTTTTTTTTTTAGGATGCTGCTGTCCATCTCTCGCCCTCCCTTAGTCGCTTCTTACGAAAGAAAGGGGTGGCTTATTTTATGCCGGATCACACGGCCAAAATTGTGCCAATGTTATATCATATTCCGATATATTTAAATATGCACGCACAACCACTCTTTGGAATCAACTTCCAGCAGCAGTATTTTCGAACTGATACGAAAATGTAACATTCAAGAAAAGAGCATAATCCTTTTTAAAAGGCCGGCAGAACACCTGCAATGCCGTTGGTGTTGTGGGTGATCATGGGCGGCGGTAGTCACTTACCATCAGGTGAGTCGCATGTTCGTTTGCCCCCTGTGTTGTAAAAAAAATGATTTTCATATTTATGATATTAAAAAATATTTCTTTTTATGTATACAGAGTAGCAAGCTACGTGTGTACCGTCTTTAATTTCTAATTCGAAATATACTTCAAGTCATAAAAAATTAGCGGACATAAAAAGAAGGATCACTTTCACCCATCATAAAACTTCGATTTTCGACAAATAACAGCGTCCAATAAATAATACAGGTATTTTGATGTTCCGATATGATCTTTATTACTGTTTTATAGTTGTTATTGTTTGATTGATGCGTACCTGTATATAAATACGAGCGATCCGCCCACGTTTTGTTTGTTGGTTTGAATTTTTCTCATGCAACTTAGAATGGCAAACAAGCTGACGTCCTGTCTAATAGAAAGCAGTAACAGTCGCATATAGACATGAACAGTACCATCCCTGTACCCTCCATGCGTTGTCATTCCTGAAGAGTAAAGTGTTATGCCTCTGTACCCTGTAAATGCACTGCTTGATAATAAAATATAGCACAAGTTACTCAATGGTAATGTAGCTTTCTGTAGGTGAAAATACATTTATTTGTAAAATAAAAATGAAAATTAAATTGTTATTTTTTTTATTAATGTAAGCATGACTATGCAAAAACAAAGATGGCTCTTCGACCAAAGACAAGAAAAAAATTAACAAGCAAAAAAAAATGGCGCGAGTCTCGAAAACACTCACAGTCACATGACTGGTCATGTGACACAGATTATGAAACGTAGATAATTATCACCCAACAAAAAATACCTCTGACTACCCAGTTAGACAATACAGTCGTGAACATATTTCTTTTTAAATATCTTTTCAGTTTGAAAATCAATATGAAATTATTGTTTTAGAAATAACAAAGTTAAAACATAAGCATAGCGTTCTCAGAGGCGATAACTCCGAACTCAGATAAGGGAATGCCAGTTAAAACAAAGCTGAACATTGACGAGGTAAATTCAAATAATTCGTGGTAATACTAAAGTAAGAATTGGTCCTAGCCTCCCAAATTACCCTTAAGGGGGGGATTGGTGAAATCTACGCAGCGTAGTTAAGGCGCAACACAGTGGATTTATGTGCAGCCGAGGACAGGGGAATAATTATTTGGAACAATTCCTTACAATTCGGCGATGGTGTGAGGTAATGTAGTTAGCGGAGTTTATTTTTTTAGAAGAATTATAAAAATATGAAATATCACGGTATGTTTATTTTTAATTTTTTCTGTTAAATATCAAACGATCTTTATTTTATATTTTTATACTAACCGTTACTAACGGCTTTGCTTGCATGAACTAGTACATGAAGTATCCTATATCTCAATTAAGGATGTAACCTGTCCTTGTACTAATCTTATAATTTACTTCCATCTAATCTATTCAGCCATTTAATTATAGATTTTTTAAAGTAATTAATTGCAGGTGCCTTAGAGCAGTTTAAAGGGGAGGCCTATGTTCAGCGATGGACAGATGATGATGATGAATCCAATACGTATTAAAATATATTCATAATGAAAAAAAAGTGCCACTATTGCATAGAGCTATTTGTCTATGGTACGCGACATTATCTACTTTGTGAAAGATAGAGAAATAATACTTGCTTTCCAATGTGTCTATCTGTTACGGTTTTATGTTTGAACTACTAAATAAGTATTTGTAATAGTTGCGAAAATAAAATAGGTTTTAGTTTGAAAATAATCATTGTAATCGTCACTTTGATTGGGCTGTATGTTTGCATGTTTTATTCACATACTACTTTTATTCTAGTCAGTGAATAAATCACGGTGACTTGGATGAAATTGCGGGTAAAAGCTAGCAGTACTACAAAAAATACCCAAATCAAATATTAATTAAATTAATGTAATGTAACGACTCTACAGTCCTTAGACGTAAGACTGGGTAAAGTAGAGGGAAAATCAGGAAAGCTGAGTGTACAATACACTGAAATTACAGGGTACAAATTACAGTACCATAGACCTCAGGAATGGCAAAGCATGAAGGGTATCAAGGGTGACATAGTATACTAGCTTATATCTATGGTACTGTTTATCTCTACTTATGTTATGCTTATGTCTCTGTTTATGCTTATCTCTATAGGTGACGGTTATCGCTTATCGCTATCGGTTATCGCTGGACCAGCTTGTATCCTAAGTTGTATAAAAAACCATCAGTGGTAAAAGAAAAAACAATTTTGAAACTTTCGATATCAAAACAATGTTATCAGGGTAGGTACGTAGTTCTTTTATTAAAATGAGACTAAATAAAACAAAATTAAAAATCATATGTCATTTTCCCTCAATCAACGATTTATCATCATTGATGTCGAATTTAGTACCCTTATTATTTCATTAATAAATTAAAGATAAAAAAATTTAATAACACAACAAAAAATAAAAATGTCCTACGGCAAAGGTAGACTGGCATTGAGCAAAGAACAAAGAGATCGTATCATAATTTTATAATTAGAGTTTGTGGTATAATTTCATAAGAGATTAACAGTTTAGATAATTTAAGATTCCACAAAAAGAAATCGCCTTCAATCGTGGTAAAATTAAATATTTTTATTAAATAAAAATCCAGTTATTTTGATATGGCGTGAATTTACTGGGTACAGAGGAATAACATCTGAGTCCTCAGGAATGGCAACGCATGGGGGTATCATGGACGAAACAGTATACTCTGTTATGTCCATGGTTCGATCAGGTGGACCGTCAGCTTGTTTGCCATTCTAAGTTGTATATATATAAAAAAAAAGATATAATAACTAAAGTACTGAACTGGTTATAATAAAATTACTATATGACCAATCTGAAAGTATAACGATTCAAACAAAAAAAAAATTTTTTTTCTGTATCAATCTATGTCTTAGAGTTATTGGGGAACAAAAATAAAGAGTAAAAAGATCGAAGATTCCGACGAAATAAGCATCCGCCCACTACATATGTACTTATTATTGTAACAAATTGTAATTTGTTAATCTTTGCCGGGTGCCCACGATACAGGTTCGTCTAATGTGCGGTCCATTGTATCTTGTATTTGTAACTTTTTGTTTTTATCTCTCTATCTATCTATCCTATTTAAGAGCTGCGCTCTTGTCGGTGGAGCTCTTGCCATTCACTACGATTTTCAGTGAGTCTTTTCACCTCTTGATACGACACGACACCAACTCCTTCCTTGATCTGCCTTATATAACTATGCCTCGGTCTCCCTCTTCCTCTCCTTCCTTCTATTTTACTTTCTATTATAATGTTCATAAGGTCGTCGTGTCGTATCAAGTGTCCCAACATTTTTCTCCTTCTGTCCTCAATATTTCTAATAATCGTTTTTGTCAAATAATAAATTTCTATTCTAATTCTATTTTGATGTCGGTTAGAAATATGATACAAAAAAGTAGATTTTTTTACTATATATTTTATTAAAAAATCACTCTCCCTCAATACAGTTTTAATAAACTTGGCTTCAAGCTAATAAAATTCAGTGAGCTGATTAAAAGATTTTAACTTAGCTTACATAAAAATGACATAAATCCGACCCCTCAGCTGTTGCGAATTTGTACCCAGTTGTAAAATAAAGGGATCAAAAAAGGATTTCAAAGTTATTTATACGGACATAAAAAGGAAGTTTTCTATTATATAGGTATGTCGTGAGTTCTGACGTTAAATCCTCATTATAGGAACGCTAATTTATAGAAAATTGTATTATGGAATATATTCCTTAATACCATTAATACCCATGGCTGGATGGGTGAATGAATAGAAATCGAGTGTAGATTAAAAAAATACTTCTTACATGATGTTAATTTAAGTCGAATATTCTCAATGTATTTTGCATTCATATATACCTACATAGTTTCCGAATGCTAATAGAATATGTTTTAATAATTAATGAATTATACATTTACGTAATAATAAATTAAATAAATAAATAAATTTTAATACAGTTTATCGCTGACTGATTTGAAATGTCGAATAATCGTCACTAAATTTGGCATACAAGTACAACTTGCAATGGGAACGGACATAAGCCACTTTTTATCATGGTCGAACAATATATCCCGATTAAGTGGACGAAGTTGCAGGCAAAGACGATAAATCATGCAATACAAGGCACGAATTGTAGATCATTTATTATGTTCTAAATGATGTAATTGTAAATAGTTAAAAAAGTTTTAATAATGTTGCCTGTTTTTTTTCCATGTAGTAACACTGTAAAATGTGTCATAACTATTTATGTTTTAAAAATATACTAATAGGCGACTAGAAAAGTGAACTACGCTATTGAAAGGAAAATAAAACTTAAAATGTATGCCAAACTACCTGGCCAAAGTGATGATGTCAGTAATTACTTGCCACCTCTTAGAACATCGCAAACATGATATGGTAGTAATATATTGTACATTCCGTCACTCTACGCTATAAAACTAATCTCATCTTACTAATATAATAAATTTGTAATAAGAACTTGTAATTAGAATATGTAAATATATAATAAATATATATTTGTATGTAGAAAATATTTAGGAAGAATTTATATGAGGGGTCTTTATAATTTTTAGACATTATAACGGTTTACATTGCTTGAAGAATCGACAACTGATGGGGAAGAAAGGTTCTTGAGTGGCAACCGCGTACGGGCAAACGCAGTGTAGGACGACCCCCCACTAGATGGAGTGACGACCTGAAACGCATTGCAGGAAGTCGGTGGATGCAGGTGGCTTAGGACCGTTCTTTATGGCAGTCTATGGGGGAGGCTTATGTCCAGCAGTGAAATGATGATGATGATGATATCTATTTGTTTGTATCCATTACGCAAAACTAACTTAAATTAATGGAAATTAAATCATTAATTTAAATTATTAAACTTAAAAACTGATGTGTATATTATATTGGCACGCCATCTAGGAGCGATCTCTGTCGTTAGTTATACTACTTCTGAAATCCGCACGTACGAAGGTCAAAAAGGCAATATTGAAATAAAATGTGTCTACATTATTTGAATTCAGTTTTTTCCTGATTCAAAACCTTGACCGCAATATAATAAAAAAACTATGACCATCATAAAAGTCGTCCAATAAAATGGTGCCAATAAAATTATCGGACACGCCATCTGATGTTCGATCGCGCCTCACTTATCACTTGTACCGCGCCTCTTGTTGTCCACAATGGGCCCATAAAAAGAGGGAAAGTGCCCAAAAAGGTCGTTAAGAATCAACCCTCCTGAACAATTGTATCGCGGAGTTAAACATTTAACACTTGATTTTCTTTCAGTCACTCGGGGAGTTAGTCTATTTTTAATAGACTTAGAGCAAGATGTATGAGATTAGATTTTTTTTTTTAAATAATTTCCAGAGTTTTTGTATAAAATAGTTCATTAAACTGAGACCTTGTTGAGTTATATATCTGTCCTGTATTTATCTCCATCCTGTATTTCTGTCAATAATTTTGAAAAGCGTGACAATGACATTGAAATGACACGGCACGTGTATTAGCACGCTTTAGTACTTACGCGTAGCAAACCATAGGGATTATTTTGTGTATTCCGTGAATGGCCGTGATTCTTGTGTGTATTCTTGTTTCGTATGCATTCTATTTATGTTTTGTATGCAATGGTTTCATATTCCACTACAAAACAATGTAGTTATAGAAAGTGGTTTTGGTATAAAATTGGTTTCGGTTTTATATACCAGAGGGAGACTTTGTACAAAAGTCATTTGCTTGGGTACCTCTGTCCCTTTCGTGTTTCAACCGTGAAGCAGTTGTGTTTGCATGGCTGTGTTTCGGTTTTGAAGGGTGGGATATGACGTGAATTTACAGGGTATAGAGGAATAACACCTGAGTCCTCAGGAATGGAAACGCATGGGGGTATCATGGGTGAAACAGTATACTATGTTATGTCCATTGTACTGCTCATGTCTATAGGCGACGGTTACCACTTTCCATCAGGTGGATCGTCAGACATTACTAACAATCCCTTCCCCCCTGATGACAGATTGTAACCATTGGCGTTTTTAAAATTATTTTTCCAGGGTGAATCTTATTGAAGTTGAAATGGATATGAGGGTCTTCCTCCCCCCCATCCCCTTCTCTCAAACACGGCTATGATTATAATTAGAGAAATACAATTTTTTTTGACCATTTACCTACCAACTCATATAATTGTCGATAATTATGTACCGAGACGACACAAATATGATAATGACATCCGTCTGCATAGAAGGAATGGAGACTTCATTATAAATATAATAATTTCTGTGATTTAATTAAATGAAAAAATTTTCTATACACTAGTCTGCTATAAATTGAGAAAAATAGTAACCGATAGTGTATCTTTCGTCCTCTTTTCACTAATTATATTAGCATAAGAAGAACGGTGCAACCATATGGTTTACAGTTTTTATTTTATCATTACTTTTATGTAATTCCTTCTTTTTAGCATTTTTTATACACTAGCCTGCTATGAATTGACAATAATAGTAAGTGATGGTGTATCTTTCGTCCTCTTTTCACTAATTATATTTGCATAAGAAGAAAGGAGGCAACCATATGATTTACAGTTTTTATTTTATCATTCCTTTTATGTAATTCTTTGTTCTTAGAAGAAACACATTACTATCTATTTTTTAAATTAACCTATATTTAAAACATAAATTAAGCCAAAAGGAGGTCCAGCTTTAATTTATACGTCTTCACAACTATTTGACCTAGGATCGAAGAAACTAGGCGGCGAGGTATAGTCTACGTTTTCGGTTTATGTAACGAGCATCAACCATCATCAGTAACAAAACCCCTGTAAATGGGGGGAAAGGGATTGTTAGTAATGGAGACTGAGAATCCCATTGCTAGCAATATACCCAACCAGGTCGACCTCCTTGCTGTTCCCCCTGGAAACTATCATGGTTAATTCCTGATGAATTCATGATATGCTAACTGGCCTGTTTTCATTCTCATCTATCACGCTTCACTGGTGCTCCACCAGCGTATCCCGTTAGCGCAGGCGGTGCTACCATACCATTGTCACCCATCGTACTGCTCATGTCTATAGGCGACGGTTACCACTTTCCATCAGGTGGGCCGTCAGCTTGTTTGCCATTCTAAGTTCTATAAAAAAAAAAAAAACCCTGTAAATATTATTTATTACATTCAAATCTGTCAGATTTGACAGTGATCGTGTAACGTATATACAGAAGACAAATAATATATGTAGATAAATTTAAGGTTGTTTGTCGAAGTTGCTTAAAAATTAACATGACTACTCCATTGATTTTAAGTCCAAACAAACAAAGGATTGTTTCAGTATAATTAGTGTATTCATAAAAGAACCGTGTATAATATGTTTAAAACTTTTTTATATTCAAATTCCTATTATTATTGATATTATCGATCGGAATATATTTGGAAATAATGATAATTAATTATATTAAGTGAATGTGTATTGTTATCTCATACAAAATGAGTTTAAAGTTATATTTGTGTGAGTATGTTTAAAACTTTTTTATTTTCTAATTCCTGTCAATATTAATATTATTGATCGGAATATGTTTGGAAATAATGATAATTAATTAGATTAAGTGAATGTGTTTTGTTATCTCATACAAAATGAGTTTAAAGTTATATTTGTGTGAGTACTTTAATTATTCTTCGATTTGTGTTGTGTTGTTTAATATTTCGTAATAGTATACCCTTTCACGCTCAAGAGAAATGCCTACTGTTTAACATAGGCCTCTCCATGGGAGGTTTCGCCAGTAGTTGCCACATTTGGCAAACGGGTTGGCAACCGTAATAAGGTTTTGGTGCTGTTTTAAGAGAGGTAGCCGCCCATTCCTCGACAATTGAGTGCTCTTAGTCGCCTCTTATGACACCTATGGGAAAGGAAGGTGTGGTCCATTCTATGGCGAGACCACACGGCTTGTATATATTAATACTACCTTAAAAATTTTGTTATTCTTCAATAGAGTATACTATTTGTTTATTTCTGTCCATTTTTGGATTAATTTTATCCGAATATGATTGAGCAACAAATATAATCTATATATCTTACTTTATAGACCTACACTAATATTATAAAGAGGAAAGATTTGTATTTATGTGTGTATGTTTGTAATGAATAAACTCAAAAACTACTTTGCCGATTTCAAAAATTCTTTCACTATTAGAAAGCTACATTCACCCTGAGTAACATAGACTATATTTATTGACTAAAACTTTAGTAACGTAACTCAACGTGTAAAAAAATGCTATAAAATATCTTTCGTCGCGTACGCTGCGGAAACTATTAGTGATAGAACAAAAGTATGTTCTACAATATTGAAGAAAATATCAATAACTACAAAAAAAATTTGTAATACTATATGTACAACTATTATCGTAATATTACAGTAACCACTTTTTTTATGTTGTAAAAATGTCCACCCGTACGAAGCCGGGTCGGGCCGCTAATATGTTATATATATATATATATACACAGATACACAGTTTATATAATTATATATTACCTTTTACTTCAGCGAGAAAAGTTTTAAGGTTATAAAAGTTTATAGTCAGTAGCCACTAAAGATTAAGATAAAAACAGAGTTTTATGCCACTCTTATGTATAGGTCTTATCTATTTCCGCCATGAATCAACTATAGGCGTCACTGTATCGCTCTGAAGGGTGAAAACAGATTTATCGATACGAAAGACAAAATAGATATAGACATCAATTATACAATATCATGTATATATTGGCTATCGTATCAGAGGAATCGAGATATATATATATATATATATATATATATATATATATATATATATATATATATATATATATATATATATATATATATCGTAATTATATTCAATTCGGACCTGACTATGAAATACAATCCGTGAACTTCATAATTATGTTTATCAATTAGACATTAGATGTAGCATTTTTTTTTAATAGAAACTATAATCCTATTTACGTTTTACAGAAGTACACCCTAGATAGTTTATTTAAAATAGCATGAAACATGATTATCATGTAGTTACTACATAAACAAATGACGTCTGTATACACGTAAATCTGTCTGTGTGTATTGAGCATAATGTAAACTATAGTAGTACTGTGATAGCACCATATATCCACGTCTTCATTATCATCATATCAGATGTTAATTGTCCACCGTTGAACATAGGCCTTCCCCGTAAGGGGGTGTAATACACGTATCTCCTTTCATGTATTTTAATATTTTAACTGCTATTAAGCAAGTAACAAAATGTTGGAACAACATCCCGCCACCATTTAGGCATCTGACTACCGTACACAGTTTTAAAAAACATCACAAAGAATACTTATTAAAAAAACAAATTTTAGGCATTCCACAGAAATTTCTTGGCTAGCGGTTGCAATCTCATGTAATGATTTTTAATATTTTTTTTCCATGTTTCTCTTATTAATATTTTCTTTTTTTTTTCGCTTTATCCTTACCACTCAGTTAAAATTATATCAAATTATACTCTGAACTATTTACATTATTTTTATTATACACACACTGCACAGACAATCACCAAAAATATTGCTCTTTTTATTTTATATTTATTTTAATTATTATTTTCACATACCCTCAAATGGGTTAAAGCTGAAAATCTGTGTTTTGTTCCTTGAATAATGTTACACGCTGAGCTTCGACCTTTTTGTATTGCTGCAGATCACACATAATAACACAATTTTATAAATCTTATGTTGTTTTATGTATTATCTATTCTTATGTACATGTTGTGTGTGATTAGTAACAAACAAATAAACGATATATCTATCTATCTATCTATTATTTTGGAAATATTAATAATATTTAAAATATGAGACCAATCAATTTCATTGCCTTACCCTATCCCATTTATTTTGGGTCGGCGATATATGTCTTTTTATTTCACAAATCCCTGTCAACTATTATTTTTAGATTCATTTCTGTTTTATGCATATCATCTTTCACACAGTTCATCTACCTTTCCTTCGGTCATCCTCTTCCTTTACATGCATCCACTTTCATACTTAATACTTTTTTAAAACATGGCTTTCTGCGTATAAAATAACTGTATCAAGATACGCTATTAAAATATGAAACCAATAAAAACTAAAATTTAAATGTTATCATTTCAGGTCTAACGATACTTGGAACACAATTCCCCTTCATCATCAGCTCAAGTTGCCAGATCGGACCTATGATTAATAGCTGCCAATATACAGTTACGTGTTTCGATATTACCAGTGGCGTTGTAAATCCGTACTGTTCGAGTAATCCTAACGTCACATTTGTTATGAAAAACTCTAGACTCAGAGAACTCAAATTTAGCTTTTTTGGTTCAACAAATTTTGATTCAAGGGTGCGTACTTTAATAGCTGCCAACAATGCTTGGCTTTCAATTGAACGAGAAGCATTCCGTTATTATACTAGCTGTATTTTTATGGACCTATCTAACAACAGAATTGATGTTATTAATGACGGAGCTTTCTTACAATTGTCTAAACTGCAGAAACTGAATTTATCAAATAATAATATTTCTGTAATAACAGAAGATACATTCAAAATGTTAAACGGTGATACAAATGAGTTATTGTTTCTTGACTTGTCATTTAATAACTTGAGTAGTTTATCATCAGCTACGTTTAAGCAAGCACCAAAATTAAACGAATTGTATCTTGACCATAATGCGATCAGTACAATTGAAAATGATTCTTTATATTATTTAGACAACTTAAATATTTTGTCTCTAAGTCATAACAAATTAACTTCTCTCAATATGACGCTTATTAACATGAAATCGTTGAAACATTTAATAATAACTAACAATTTGATTGCTAAAATATCGAGCAATGATATAAATCACCTGGTATCTTTAGAACTACTTAATTTAACACACAATGCGATTGAAACAATTGAATCTAACTGCTTTAACTCAGCGTTCAATTTGAAATATGTAGATTTAAGTCATAATAGAATCAACTCGGTCATTGAAACAGTTATGTTCATAACTAATAAGAAACTTCGATACTTAAATATGTTTGACAATAATATCACCATTATAGGAGAAAATGTATTTAAAAACAATGATCTGTATACGTTAAACTTGGGTGAAAATAATATTAATGGAGAAATTACGGAATCAATTTTAGCAGGTTTAAGCAATATTGAAACATTAAACTTGAATTCGCAAAATATAACAGCCATTAGAAGTAAAGCTTTCTCAGGAATGACATCTTTGAGATACTTGAAGTTAGGTCGAAACAATATTAGTATCATTGAACCAACAGCATATTTTAATGCAAGTATTATAAATACATTGGAACTTTCACACAATAGAATCAGTGATTTGTCTTTCTTAAGAGATAGTTTGTTAAATCTAGACGTACTATATTTAGACAGTAATGAAATAACATTTATACCAAAAAATGCATTCATTAATCAAACTGCATTAAAATTGTTAGATATATCTAAAAATAAAATAACGAATATTGATCAGTTTGCATTACCTTTAACAAAATTACAATATTTAAAAATACACGGAAATCACTTAGTGGGAACTGTGAAAAGTGATATGTTTAGTCCAGGGCGTTATTTGAGATCATTAGATTTAAGCAATCTGAAATTTACATCTATTAATAATATGGCTTTTACAAAATTGCCTATCTTGGCTAGGTTAAATATATCTCATAACGAAATTAAAGAAATCGATGCCAATAATTTTATAGATATGAATAACATGTACAGCTTAGATCTTTCTTTTAACGAAATAAAGTATTTAGATCTTAGTAATAGTAGTATGGGAAATTTAAAAGCTTTGTATTTGAATAACAATAGGCTTGTGAATATATCAAAATTGTTTTCACAAACATCCAATTTGATTTTTATAGATATTTCGTCTAATAACATAACTACGTTGTACGATATTGGATTACAAATGTTACCTAACTTACAAAAACTAGACGTCTCAAATAATAAAATATTAGTTTTTAATAATCCACATACTAATGCGTTAATTAATTTAATAGATTTAAATTTATCTTTTAATCTACTCACAAGTATAGAATTAGTTTTTTTCAGCGAATTACAAAGTGTGAATCTATGTAACAATAGCTTTACTAAGATCAATCACACGTTTTTTAGTAATCTTCGTCACCTCCAAGCTTTAGATTTTAGTTTTAATAAAATAAAATCCCTTGAACCGGGTATATTCCAGAGCATACAATCTTTGAAGGTATTGAACGTATCTTACAATTTCATAAGTTCATTGAGATACGGTTTCCTTAAAGGATTACATGAAACTGAAATATTGGATTTATCCAATAATAATATTAACGAATTAGATGTGGATATGTTTCACGAATGTTTGAAACTAAGAAAGTTGATTATTGATTACAATAACATAAAGAGTTTAGATATCGAAAGACTGATTCTAGTAGCCCCTAAACTAGATACAATTAGTTTTGGTGCTAATCCTATTTCGTGCAAAGAGATCATAAGATACACAAGATCTGAAATGATTATATCAAGAAGTGTAGAACTTACAGCTACTGATAAAATATTTCACGACGATAATGTTCATGGTATTAAATGTGGTAATAATGAGAATTCTGATATTCCCACATTAAAACGCAGTAAATTAGATTCAAATAACACTAAATCTGAGACCGAAAAGGTATCAATGAATGTGATCCTTCTAATATTGTGCTCTGGACTTACCATTTTCATTGTAGTATTCATAACAATATTTTATTTATTGAAACGAGATCGTAATTTATTGGATCGAAATATTATGCCACTTAGAAATTCTTTAGAGTTGAATTCCGAATACAATCGTGATCTATTAGAGTGATTAGATCTTCACAGTTTTTGTACAATAATTACATATTACTTTAAAACTGACCATATATATTCATTGAAAAAATAAATGAATATTAAAGAGAGAAAAAAACTACTGATACAATGAATATATATTAATTTGGTAAATCATATACCGAAAATTTTGAAAATATAATACAAAATGGAATTGAAATATTAAGAAGTATTATATATTAAATTAAACATTTATTCAGAAGAAACAAGATAAGATGAAAATGTACAAGGTCCATATATCTAAAGGTAGAGCTCTAAAGAAAACTAAATTATGTATAACAATACAACATCAGTTTAGGGTCATTATGTTTATGTTGATAACTAAGTAGTTAGTTAACATGTTGATCTAATTACAGATCTGTATACAAAATCTTATTTAAGGAAGTATTTTTGTATATATATATATATACATATACATACACATATATATATATATATATATATATATATATATATATATATATATATATATATATATATATATATATATTTTTTACTGTCTAAATAAAGTTAATGGTCAGATAATGTTAAAGATCTCATGATATTTTTTCTGCTAGTCTATGACAAGATAATAAATTAAATAATTTTATCCATTTTGTAGCCTACAAATTACTTGGGCTACTATTGGTATATCCATTAAGTAAAAAAAAAAAGGTAGCAAGGTTATACAAAATAGTAAGTGAACCATAATTTGCATTCTACTTCACATTCAGTCTACGAACGGTTCCACTGGGATTCTGCACTTTTATATACCCTCGCTGTGACCAACTTTTGTCCAAAGCCCTGTTGAATATCTTCTATATCTGCTATGACAATTGTCGCCATGTGAAAGATTCAGAGAGCAGAATAAAGGAAGCTGGAGGGGTCACTCATGCTACGTGTAAAATATTTGTAATCAGAACATATCCAGTAAAATTAGGTATTATCAATCCACAAATCAAAGATTTCCAATCAGAATATTTACAGTAGATTTAAAAATAACATGAATATTGGTGTAAACCTATTGAAGTCCTACAATTGGGCACCTATTAGCTACTGTCTACAACTGAACATAGGTCTCTATCTATTGGAGGGTTATGTCAATGGTTGCCATGATTGGCAAGCGGGTTGATAATCCCAGTTAGGCTTGTGGTAATGTTTTAGGAGATCTCTAGATGTTTGTAGCATATTAATACCACAGATATCACCGCACTGCCTAAATTATACTTTAAGATGTCTCTTGCATTGATTTAAAACTTTTTGGAGATAAAAAGGCTTGGTGACAAATATTTATCTATATAAATATTTGTCGTCAAGATACCTATATATCCTGTTACGTATTTATTTTATGACAGAATAGGACGATCAGTATATTAATTTACAAATGTTAATGTAAATATTAAGCAGTATCTATTGTGATATTAACAAATAAAGTTATAAATATTATTTTCTTTTATTTCTTTTTTTTACAAGTTTATGTCGAATTGTGTTGTACACAATTCAAAAAGAAACACTTCAAAGAAGATCTGACGTACAAAATGTGAGGTTTAGTCGTTACAATGGTACCTTGAAGATCATAACTAGGTATGAGTAGTTTTTGTTCTAATGCGATATCTATATATCGGGTTCTCGGTTATCTGTGGATGTTTATGGAGGGAGAAAATGTTATAATGTGAATTTACGGGGTACAGAGAGAACAAAACCTGAGTCCTCAGGAATGGCAACGTATGTTATGTCCATGGTACTGCTCATGTCTATAGGCGACGGTTAACACTTTCCATCAGATAGACTGTCAGCTTGTTTGCCATTCTAAGTTGTATAAAAAAAACACCCATTCGATTTCAGCTATACTAACGGATACCCACATGCGTTTCGATCGTTTCATTTCGATATTATACGAGGTTTGTCCGGAAAGTACGTATAAAAGTTTTTTAAAAATTTTATTTTACAATTATTCAGGTAAATCAATTTTATCCCCTTCAAAGTACTCCCCCTGTGACATAATGCACTTGTGCCAACGCCGTTTCCACTGTGAGAAGGCTCCTTGAAAGTCCTCTGGTTGTAGGTTTCTCAGCTGCCCCGTCGTAGCTTTTTTTATCTCATTTATGTCCCCCAAATGCCGCCCCCGAAGTACCAATTTGGTTTTTGGGAACAAGAAGAAGTCACACGGGGCCAAATCCGGCGAATAGGGGGTGTTCGGTCACCGTAATGGAATTTTTACTCAAAAACTCACGGACAACAAGAGAGGTGTGGGCAGGGGCATTGTCGTGGTGAAGAATCCAACGCCCCTCTCGCGCCAATTCTGGACGAACTCGTGCCACACGAACTTTGAGGCGTCTGAGCACATCGACGTAGAATTTTCCATCAACTGTCTGGCCTGGAGGGACGAATTCTTGATGGACAATCCCCCGAACATCGAAAAAAACAATCAACATTGTCTCGGCCCTCTCTGAATCTTTTTAGCCACTTGTGGACGGTTGGTTCCTTCACAGCATCATCCCCATAAACTGTTCTGAGATCGGCAAAAATTTCACGGCCATTCTTGCCGAGTTTCGAGAGAAACTTGATTACGACGCGCTGCTCTTCAACGGAAGCGGGCTCCATACCGACGGGGTTTCGTTAAGAGGTAACTTCACAGATGGCGTGACAAGCCTGTTCGCACCGCACGGCGGTCAGACCAGAACTGAAGCATTGTTAGGGACATAAGGAAGGGGTCCTGCGCTTACCTGGCCTCCCCACTCCTCTTTCTCGCATTCCAGAACACTTTTATACGAACTTTCCGGACAGACCTCGTATATTGGATAATCAATACTCAATATACCATTTAACATTTATTATTTTGTCAATATATAGATATGGTAACTACAATATATATTACCCACCAAATCATAATGTATCACCCTGTTGTATTGTGCATATATTGTGTACATATATTGTGGTATCAAATTCAATGACATCTTTTTGAGGAACTGTTCTAATCAAATTTAATATACTTTTCAAAGGTAGGTACATGAATTGAAAAGGAAATAAAATACGAACTTGACAGCTGGATACCCCTATTATTGTGTGAGATGCAAGAATTTTTAGGCCTTTTTCAAGCCACTTTTCTTAAGAAAAATGTTCAGTTTCATTCCGAGAATAGTCTTTTAAATGAATGCTAATTATTTTGATTTCACTCTGGACAGTAACACGACGGCAACAATCAGGTGAGCTGTCAGCGCATTCACAATAGAATACGAACAAAACAAAAAAACCAAAGCCACAGAAGAAAAATTTGTATAGTGAATCATTTGTTTGCGGGGCAGTAGATAAATTAATATCTCAATTTCACTGTCTTGTAACAACTGTAATATCATCTGTCAAAATGGTGATTATACAAAAAGCGTCGCAGCGCGAAATCTAATTCGAACCTCCAGAAGGCAGACGGAACATGGCGATATAAAGTTATCTCGGAAAAAAAACTGAGTGAGGGAGAACGAACAGTTTGCGGCCACCATCAATCATCTTATGAACAAACGAGCGCCGTATAATTCCCTTAGTGTATACGCCTAAAATGTGATATTCGGATAAGTAAAACCATAGATTAATAGCATATAGATAGAGCGTGTTTGAACAAACGCTTCGACAAGTACAGTTCAACTTATTTATTATTGTGAACGAATTTGTATTATCATATCTAGGTTTACAGTAGCGTTATATTGGAATGGTAAGTCCGCCCGTGTTATCAGTAGATATACGCTGACGGGACACCAGGGAGTGGTGATAGGTGATAATGTAAGGAGGTCAATTACAAATCATTGTGATTAATTCCACAGAATATAAACATGATGGTTTTTTTTACAACACAGGGGGCAAACGAGCATGCGGCTCACCTGATGGTAAGTGACTACCGCCGCCTATAGACATGAGCAGTACCATGGACATAACAGAGTATACTGTTTCGCCCATGATACTCCCCATGCGTTGCCATTCCTGAGGACTCAGGTGTTATTCCTCTGTACCCAGTAAATTCACGCCATATCCCACCCTTCAAACCGAAACACAGCCATGCAAACACAACTGCTTCACGGTTGAAACACGAATGGGACAGAGGTAACCAAGCAAGCAAAGCTTGCTTGGGTACCTCTGTCCTGTTTGTTTATTTTCCATTTAATAACACTTTTAAATATAACATAATGTTTATTATAGTCACAGTACCTATGCAAATGTTAAATTAACTGTTGGGCTTCCTACGGGTTCTTCTCAGCAGATACAAAATTCCAGCAATACATTCATAAAATATGACGATTTAAAAAGATAAGTCTATTTGAATTAAGATTATTTATATTCTATTCTATTTATGAATTCAAAGAGTTTTTTCTCTTATATATATATATATATATATATATATATATATATATATATATATATATATATATATATATTTCTAATATGTAAGCTAGTGTAAATATATAAAATATGTATGTTTGTATTTTTTAAATCTAGTTCACTGGGTAAAGAGGTTTCTTTAGGGCCGGCAACGCGCGCGTAATACCTCTGGTATTGCGGGCGTTCATAGCCTACGGTAATCGCTTACCATTAGGTAGGCCGTATGCTTGTTTGCCACCTCAGTGGAATAAAAAAAAACCGAGTTACCGGAGGTGCAGATTAACCTAATAGAAACTCAATTGGGCACAGTCCCGCTGATAAGTATGAATATCAAAGCTGATGTCATGCCTTTACAGATGCATCAGATTAGAATCTAATGGTTGTGGTTTCTCCTAAAAATCCCATGTCAATCACATGTTAATTGGGTTAAAGATTGAAACCGTCATTTTTCTTTGTGGAGCAAATTCTGGAGGTCTATCACGAAATGAAATTCCGAATTTTCGGATTAAATTTCGTGTTTTTGTTCATACTGAAATGGACCCAGTAAATAGAGCTTAGCATTTCGTTTGACATAAATCCTACCATAAAAGTCCAATGGAACGGTACTTTCGCATTTTTATTATTTTTAAACGGTATATATCATGTAATTTTAATATAAAATTTGTGTTTCGTTCGGACCCGAAATTTCGGAAAACATTTCATGGTAGGCCCTCTGTTTATTACAAAATTAATACTACTGAAAAAAGAGGTTCTCAATACGGTTGTATTACCTCATAACTCCGTCATTTATAAACCGATTTTGATAATTATTTTTTATCTGAAAGGATATTATTTTAAATTGTTCGCACAGGAATCTCATCAAAATGGGTTCAGCAGTTTAGTATTGAAATTAAAATGTCTGATGTTACGATTAAAGTCGGTTTTATTTTGTGAAATAAAATCTACCTATTTGTTGAGAAGCAAAATATAATACCTACGAATAAAATCAAATATATATATATATATATATATATATATATATATATATATATATATATATATATATATATATATATATATATATATATATAT